TGCTGCTGCGGCTAATTTGTAGAGCTGATTTGTTGTGAGAGAAAAATATTGTTCCCATGGCTAAAAAGTAGGGCTAATTCTAGCTGATTAGCTCAAGCGAACAGAGTCGTGGATCCCATCCTATAGTGGGTGGGATCGTACCCATGTCTTGTCGGGCCATATCCGACCGGTGGTCATCGTACCTGTCATCACCGCCCTAGGTGGTATTGTCTTGTCTGTGTGGCGTGGCACAGGGAAGGCGTCTGACTGGACCGAGGTGACTGTCCCCTCGGCCCTTGTGGGGCTAGTGCGGTGTGCTTGTCTTCTCAGAATAGGCACGCTTGGCTAATCTCGACCTCTCCCCGTTCCTCCCAGGGGTCATGATGAGGAAGAGGTCATGTGCCCTTCGACCGCCGTGCAGGCTAAGGCATGGGGAGGGGGCACAACTGACCCTAGCCTTAGCGTCGGCTGGTTTGCTCGGCTTGGCTGGGCCTCGGTCGTTCGGGCCTTCACTAGCTGGTATATTGCGGGCCGCGTGGCCTATTAACTAATCGATGCCTTGAGACACCTTGGAGTTATAACGCCGACATATAGTCATACTATTAAGAGAGGAAAACTTGTTTGAATTACGGTTATTATCTAGTGACACTTATGAGGTCTATCTTTGCATTGCATATTAGAATCAAGTGGTATTTTGAAAAACATGTGAAAAACCTTTGAAAATATTTGAACATGCTAACTAAGGTCTAAATGTGTTGATCATCCTGTGGAAGATCATTGGGAGTTAGCATGCTTGAAAAAGGTTTGAAAAAGGAAGTGTTTGCATTATTTTTGGGTACTGCAACTAGCTGGTGGTGCATCGGAGCTATCCAACAACTCGTAACTTCTAACCCTAGATATTTTGGCTTCTCAAAGCCATATCTCTGGTGCCACACCAAAGTTTAGCACATGAGCTTTGGAACAACAGCCTATCAGGTGGCACCAAATTCAAATGAACTCACCATGACTCTTGTGGTGCACTGGAGAGTGAGTCTAGAGTGGGTGTTTTTCATGCACATAAAGGCTTAACACAGACTAGATTTCTCCATTGGTTCACTGGAGAAATGCACCAGAGTTATCGCATAGTGCACATGACCAAACCCTAGGCATCTAAGGTGCACTGCTATTCTCCGATTCCAACATCAAAAAAAGCACTAGAGTTGTAATGGTTAGTACAACACAATACACTTTACCATTGCTTGTTTTCTCTGATGGTGCACTCCGATGCACACTAGAGCTATCTAGTACACATGAAAAGTGCCTAGTGAGGGCATAATTGCTAGTAATTTGTTGGGGGTTATAAATACTTGTCTTGGCCAGCCATGGGCACTCTATTGACACTTGACAAGCCTCATACACAAACTTGAGCATACATAGTCTCTCCATTCATACACTTGCATTGGATTGTATCTTTGGAGTGTGAGATCAACATTCTAGTGCATTGCTTGGTGTGTTTATTTGAGTGGCACTAGAAATTCATATTGCAAGCAGGTTTTCTAGTTACTCTTGGTGGTTTCCACCACCTAGATGGTGTTGAAGCTTGTGGACTCCTTCGAATCACAACAAAGAAGATTGTGTTGGTGCTCTACAAAAGATTTGGGAGGGGCTATTGAGCCTATCCCTGCCATAGAAGGAAAAGAGCATTTCTAGAATCAATATATATATTGAGTAGCGTCTTGTTGTTCTATCTAGCTTAAGATCAAGCACTCAAGGCACCAAAACAATTTGTGAGGTTGGAAGCCTGATAGGGTAGCAGTGAACCAAGGGCTCACCTCAACATGGATTAGGAGCGACCAAGACAAGTCATTGATACCACCAGAATACATCTAGATCTAGCTATGAGATTCATGCATGTCTGAGAGTAGAAATAAAATGAAGTAGTTTAAACATGTGTGCTTGATTCAAAACAATAACAACATTGCTCTATAACTTCAACATATCTATAACTCTAATTCCAAGAGTTTCTCAGCTTTAAAATTTGTTGGAGTTAGAGCTATGCCAAACAAAAGCAATTCTCTCACATGGTCACATGGGTTGCTCCTTTAAACATACATCAATCCATTTTCCCATTAGTGCGTTGAAAATATTCTCTTTAAAAGGATATCATGACTTCAATCTAAGCATATGCATAACATGTTCTAAAAGGATATAAAGGGTTTGAGAGAAGTTATGAGGAATGTGCAATCTTACTTGCTCTTAAATTTGAAGCTCGATTATGGTAAATATTGACACGATAGCTTTCGCCGAATCAAATGAATGGGAGTTTGGATATTGATAAGAAACTACAATAGTGACTTCATGGCTACTTGCATGCAGAGTATCAATGGAGTCACTGACTCTGACCTTGTGTAGGCAATAGCTTCCAGGCATTCAACTCTCTTTCACGTTTGCTAGCTTATATGACAAAGGAAAATAGAGGACATTATACGGAATTAATTAGTCAGTTGGATAATTGTTTCAGATTGCCTCTCTCCAATATAAAAGCTCCAATCAAATGCCAAAACTCAGTTCCTAACAAATTCTCTCGTACTAGACATCAGTACAGACGACTCATGTCTCGAGGTCCCTGTGTTACCTTCTCTTTTATCCATGTTGGTAGATAGGGACATCACTAGGACCTATGCTAGGGGGCTATGGCCCTGTTTGCTTGTCTTATGAGCCATACTTGTCGGTGTTTTTGGACCATCGGTGAGTAAATTTGTATTTGCGTGTATGGCTCGGATGGTGTGCTCGAGAGGACACAAGGGTTTATACTAGTTCGAGAAGAACATCCCTACGTCCAGTTCACTGCTGCTCATGTTATCAACACTTGGTTTGCAGTAAGGGGTTATAAAGAGGCGAGAGAGGGAGAGGATCCCAAGTCTCTAGTGAAAGGAGTGAACGGGTGCTGAGAGCTTGCTTACCGCTCAGCCGTGTGCTCGTGTCGTGCTCTTGTGTCAAGATCTCTCCCTTTTCATGGGGCGCCCTCTTTCACCTTTTATAGGCGAAGGGAAAGCGTGGGTTACAGAGGAGGAAAAGGAGGAGAACGAGAGAGAGAAGAAGGCTTCCAGGGTTGCTGGGTCCTTCTTCTCCTTTATGCGGGTCCCACCGATCCTATAGATATCAATAGGGATAGCTCCTTATCGTGGCCCTGTTCGTCACTAGGCGCCATGCGCAGGCATCATCTGTCCGGTCATGGCATTCCACTCCGTCCCGGTGGACGTCATGGTGAACTGACGCGCCTATCAGCGTCCATACGAGGATTAGGCAGAACAACACCGGCACGCCCAACACTGTTCTTGATGTGAATTTCCAGGTATGGCCTATCATGGCCTCGGGTTACATCGAGGCATGATAGTCTCTTCCCTAGCGTCAGAGTTTTGACCTAGGCCCATATGCTTGGACCTAGAGTGGTTGGCGGTGGTATGGGTCCCCGTCGGACGAGGCGGAACCCGCGTCCTTGGGGTCAGGCGAGACAGAGCCCGTGGCCTCGAGGTCGGGCAAGATAGAACCCATGGCCTTGGGGTTGGGCGAGATGGAGCCCGCACCTAAGGGGTCCGGCGAGACAGAGCCCATGACCTCGAGGTCGGGCGAGACAGAGCCCGCGGCCTCAGGGTCGGGCGAGACGGAGCCCACGACCTTGGGGTCGAGCAAGACCTTTTAATACATCTCGAGCCATTTAGGGAAGTCAGCGTGGCCGCTAACTTCCTTGCTTTGGGTATTCCTAATGTCGATACCCGACAGTACTGTTTTAGCTAAGGAATAATATTTTTCTCTCATAGCAAATCAGCGAACAGTACTTTCAGCCATTGCTTTTCAGCGAAGCGAACAAGGCCTATATCAATGGTCAAAGCCCAAAAAACATCTCCACCCTGCTCCCATCAAGGAAGAGTTCATATCCATTTATTGTCCAAGCCTTATCTCAATGTCCAACACTCGTCTATTATCTCAACACACTACTTGTTCTAGTAGCACACTCCTTGTTCTAGCCCTGACTCCATTACTAACGATAGATGTTATAATGTGGTAGCATAAGTCTAGGTCGACTGACCAACTTTTTAATGCGGTTTGATTTTGTAAAGCTCCATATATAGTTGTTTGGGATAGGGATACGATGGTTCAATCAATGAAATGCTACCCTTTACTCTTCAAAAGCAAAAATTGAAACTCAATTTAATTTGTTTGGCAACAAAGATAAATAGAGTAAAGACATTGTTCACAGTAAGTTTTCTCCTTCCTTTTTGTCCTCTGCTTCTTGCTTGATTTCATGTGGCTCGTGGTTTGATCCCTAACAGTTTTACATTACATAAACAAAAAAATTGGAACAGCTGAATTAGCAGGTTATTCTTGTGAAACCCCCGTGTGGGTGAATCACTGTTTAGACATGTGATTATTATGATCACAAAGGACAAATGAATGAGAGGACTGGAGCATCTATGGGAGTATCCAATGGGCATCGCTGCTTACCCACTGGCCCGCTCTCCGGCTCTATAAATAAATAAGAGACCTGTGGTCTCCTTTGTACACTAAGAAAACAGAGAAGAGAATAAAGAACTCCCATTCCTCCTTATCCCTCTGTGTTTACACTGTGCCTCTGTGTGCGGATACAACACCTTGTCAGCACGAGTTGTACCTGAGCTAAGGGTAAGAAGGTGAGAAATCGATTCTCCTCATACAGATGCACAAATAGGCTCCTCACCTATGGATATGCATACAAGCACCAAGGCAATTGAGCATGGCTTGCCTGAAGCAAGCCGAGATTAACTCTATCGAACCAAATAAATATGCTCGTTGGTGTTTCGACAACGCCCGGCAACACGAAGGCGGCACTGATGCCATTGCCATCAAAATGTCAGAGACAAACTTGCTGGCCCTAAAGAGCTGAGCGTACAAGCATGGTCGTGGATCCTCGCACCATTGAACTGATGGCCACCATCCTAAAGACGTGCGTGCAGATTGAACCACCACTGTTTGGAAGACGTGCACATAGATCGAAGCTACCCCTAGCAGGGGTAGTTGCTAGCAATAGGCATGGCCACCATGAGCGACTGCGTGGGAGCCGTGAGCCCCACTAGGAACGCGGACTCATAGCCACCCCTGACCGCCGTGGGCGCGGACGAGCAAGCCCAACGGGTCGCCATCGCAGGCACGGACGAGCAAGCCCAACAGGCCACCACCGCAGCCACCCCGGCCATCAACGAGCGCGTGAGCGCGAGGTGAGCTAGCCCTACAAGCCAACTATCACCATAGTCATCCAGCTACCACTAGTGCGGGCGAGAATGCCTGGTCACTGCAGCTGGCCGTGACCATCCCGTTGTCCGCTAGAAGAAGCCGGCCGACCACCAGCAGGGCGGGCTGGCCCAGATTTGGTCGTCCGACAGCCGCTGCAGGTGCTTGGGAAGGTGTGCGCGAGCTGGCCCTGTAGGCCACCGCCCGACCGGCCGCTAGCCTCGGCCTCTAGGCATGCGCAAGGCATGACTTACGCCAACAGCCTAGCCCCACTAGAATGCGAGCGCGCAGACATCTGACCTTCCCAGCTCACCACCGCGGCCGCGGGGCGTGAGTGACGTGAGAGGGGCACAAGTGTGGGCCTACCCCACGGGCGCGAGCGCACGCGGGCGACTCCGGCCTCGCCGCCGCCGCCGCTAGACCCAGCCACGGGTGCGCGCGAGCCTAGCCGCCGTCGTAGATGACACCCCACCGGCAAGGCGCCACCGCAGCCATAGGTGTGGCCCTCGCAGGCCATCGCCAGGCGTGAGTGCAGGCGAGCGCAAGACGCCGTGCAGCCAGCCACCGGCCTGGTCGGTAGCCCACCGTAGGTGAGGGGTGCCAAAGGCGTGAGCCCACCTGGCTGGCTGCCTGCCTCTTCCTACTCTTTTCCCTTCTGCATTTCTTGAAGGAAAGAGCAGGGGAGAGGTAGGAGAGGATAAAGACGCCCGGTCAAATCCCATGTGCTGGCTAGGCAGCTCTCGTACGAAAAAAGGACGTTGTGCTCTCCTGAAGGAGATAAGGATGGGTGCTAGTTGGCCTGAAGCCACTGCCCGTTCAAAGGCGTGCATGCATGCACTGCTGCTACCGTTGGCCCACTTTTGACAGCTGGGGCTAGACCAAATGACAATTTTTTTTGTCGTGCGAAAGAAAAATGTGACTTGCAGTCACATACACACGCACGCAAAATCAACGGCCTAAAGCTCACTACGTTATGCGGCCCAAATTCCATGTAGATAATGGTGGCCCGAAGTTCCACTATATTACTTTACATTATTTTATATTAGAATTTTACTATTTATCTATTATTAGAATTTTACTATTTATCTATTGATAGATTTTGTTGTCATTTATCGGTCAGATTCTACGCCGTTTGATGTGTTTGGAGATTCGTGCAGCTGTGTGGTTCGTTGATGGGTCCGCCACGTCGGCGGGTCGAGCATTTGAAACCTGAAGCCCGTTATTTTTTAAATCCGCGCCCACCCTTATCTTTTCATCTTCCACCCGTTTCGTGAGTTTTCCCCTTTGCGTCTCACGTGGCCGCTTCACCTGCACCGCGCCGCCGACGCGCTCCGCCCTCCCCAGAGCCGTCCCTCACCACGCGCTTCACCACCCCCGGCGGCGTGCCCTCCAGCATCCACGGTGGTGCAGCCTCCTCCACCCCCGGCGGCGCTCCAACCCCCATCCGGCGCGGCTTCCTCTCGACTCCGGCACGGCTTCCTTCCTCCCTTTCGGAGCCTTCTGCTGAGTTGGGGCGAAGCTGCTGGGTGGGGGTGTTGCCCTCGCGCACTGCTCGCCCTGTGTCGCGATCGTCGCCGCCGTTTCCCATGACCTTGCAGCGGAGTGTGTTGGGGCGCGACCCATCATGGCACGCTTTCGCTATTGCTGATTGAAGAAGCTGTCGCTGTTCTTCGTAAGTTCCTTGTTCCTGTACTTTTGCCGCTGATTTGAGGAGCTATATGCCGTTTGTGTGCCTGTCCATGCTGCCTTTCGGCCCGGGCCCTGAAAGGGAAGGGAGATTAGGGGGTGTCGAGTGTGTGTGTGTGTGGGGTGTTATGGGGGCGGGAGGTGGCGAAGGCTAAGGGGATCGAAGCCGACCTTATTCTGTGCGATCGTTGTTTGGGTAATTTTGGTTCAGTAGACGTTCTGGCTTGTAACAGTGAGCGTACTTGATTGGAGTTGTAGCCGATTTTGGTGTATCTGCTCTGAATTTGATGTGTGGAGGATTGGATCTATAGAATTTGTGCAAGGCTTCTAGGTGATGAATAGGTCATATCATAATTGTGGTTGTTAGAAAATGCATGTTTCAGTTGTGTCCAGGAAAAGAGATTGCAGAGTGATTTTATCTTGTTCGTTTACATTGATATCATATACTAGCAAAATTTGCATAAGCTTGCTAGCTGTTACAGCCTTACAGGTCTGGACCTTTCTTACTATCATATATGTGTGTAATGTTTGATCAATATATAGTGTTCAGTGTTTTAGTTCTCTCCAATTCTCTAGATAGCCGATTTTATCTGTTACAATAATCTGATTAGTTTGATGTCTTTAAAACCTTGTGCATTTTATAAATTTAAAAGGTTACCTGCATACTATCTATTCTCCTACTTTTGATGCAGTGTTTGTATGTGTAATCCTTTAGTTGTTTTCAAGTTACTTTTAGTTGATGCTGAGTGGCAGTAGTTTGATTAGTGTCAAGCTGCTATCAGTTGATCTCTGAGCTAACTAATCTGCATATTTGATTCTAAATGGTGACTGTAGTCTGTATGCATATCACTTCTCCACACCTACCCTATGAACCTATTTGTGAAGATTTTGTAGGTTCTAGGATTTGTTGTATTTTTTGTTTGAGTCCATGGAGGATGGAGTCGGCTTGCTTTGTCCTCACCTGGACGGGCGTCGTCTCGTCGGAGATTTTGTCTTTTTGTGTGTTGGATTTTCATTGATTGTCGTTGCTTTCTTCGTGGCCACGGCAGACGGGGATGATGTCAGGCGAGGTGGAGGAGGGTTGATGTGGGGATGTCTTTGTACACATGACGAAGGAGATGGGGTGGAGTTGCCAATTGCCTGTTTTTTTTTTCCGAAAACTACATAATGTGAGCTTTTATCTATGCTTCATGTTTTCTTTTTTGATCTACCTATATGGAGCTACTTAACTTATCTGCCATTATGATGTATGGGTACTTAGCTTTTTATCTACCCAATTGGTGGGGGCAGTGGATATATCTCCTTCAACCTGTATGTGCATTCTTAGAACAAGACTGCAACTCTATATTTTCCTTTATAATCTGCACTGCATCTTCAGTATAAATATGAGTTCCTAAAATTGTGTATCATTGAAGACAACTAACTGTCCCTGATCCTAGCTGCATCAGAACTGCATCTTTTTATCTATTTTACTTCTGATTTTAGAGGAAATCATTCTAGATTCATCAATCAGCTATATATTTTTTGAGTTGTGTCTATCTCTCTGTGTGTCTCTCTCTGTCTTTCTCTTTGTGTGCGTTGTTTTTTACAGCTGCTTCTATTTTTTTGGGGATCTCCACTGTTGCTTAGAGTTGATTTGTTAAGTTTTAGATTTGTTGATTTGTGGATTTCTTTTTATTTTTCTTTTTCTTTTGCCTTTAGCTGTAATTTTTAGAGTTTTGTCTAGTATATTTTAGTTGAGCTGTCTTTTATATTTTTAGCTGCTCTTTGGGGTTTTTTATATTTGACTTTTTTGTTGAGTTGATTTTTTTAGTTTTTTTGTTTAGAGGTTTTTTTCTAGCTTTGCCATGTTTACTAAGCTGATTTTTTTCAGAGCTTTGGTGTGTGTGAGTTTTTTCTCTGTTTGTTTGTATTGCTGTGGGTTTTGTCTTTTTCTTTTTTTTTTGCCTTTAACTGTAATTTTCAGAGTTTTGTCTAGTATATTTTAGTTGAGCTGTCTTTTATATTTTTAGTTGCTCTTTGGGTTTTTTTATATTTGACTTTTTTGTTGAGTTGTTTTTTTAGTTTTTTTGTTCAGAGGTTTTTTTTCTAGCTTTGCCATGTTTGCTAGCTGATTTTTTTCAGAGCTTTGGTGTGTGTCTTTTTCTCTGTCCATTTGTATTGTTGTGGGTTTTGTCTTTTCCTTTTCTTTTTCTTTTTCTTTTTCTTTTGCCTTTAGCAGTAATTTTTAGAGTTTTGTCTAGTATATTTTAGTTGAGCTGTCTTTTATATTTTAGCTGCTCTTTGGGGTTTTTTTTATATTTGACTTTTTCTTTGAGTTGATGTTTTTAGTTTTTTTTTCAGAGGTTTTTTGCTAGCTTTGCCGTGTTTGCTAGCTGATTTTTTAGAGCTTTGGTGTGTGTGTCTTTTTCTCTGTATGTTTGTATTGCTATGGGTTTTGTCTGCCTTTTTCTGTTTTTTGGAGCTGTTGCTGTCTTTTTTTGGTGTGTGTGTGGGTGTGTCTTTGTGTCTGGGTGTATGTTTGTTCTCTCTCTCTGAGTGTGATTCTTAGTGTGAGTGTGTGTATGTTTGTTGCTACTACTGGAAAGAGAGTGTGAGTGTGTGTGCACACACGAGTTAATGATTGTGTTTATTATTTTGCATTTGATTTTGTGTTTAGTTATTTTGGAATGTATAATGCTGGATTTAAGTATGCTTGATCCTTGTTATCTTTGGCTCAATGTGTCATTTTTTATTTGTACGAGATTTGTTAGAATTTTTTCGAGTATTCTGTCATGTTTCTTTGTTCCTAGGTATCTTTTGTTATTAGAGTGTTGTTTTTTTTATTTTGCCTAGGTTGTTTTGAGGAATTTTTTTCTAATAATTGAATGTCATTAGCTCTGAATGTGTAAGAGTAGAGGATTTTTCTGAATTTGTAGGATGTCTGAGATTGGTTGTTATTTTAGGGATTTTTGTGCTCATGTTTCGCTAGTTTTTCTTGCTACTTGCTACGTTTTGAGGTCGGATTTTTGGGGAAATTAGTGCTAGGACATGTGAGAATACTTGTTGGCCATCAATTGATTCATTCCTCTCAGGAGCACCTCTGATTTTGATTTCTCCCAATTTCCCCCCTTTTTTCTAGGGTTCTTTGTGTTTCTGATTTCCGCAAGGTGGTGCTGATCTTTTTAGGTGCATCTTTTTGCATTTGGTTTCCCATGATGATGTGATGTTGTGCCTCAATTTTTAGCCTTTCTAGATGTCTCGATGAGAATTGGCGCAGATCAGTTTGCTGTCTGTGTATACTCTGTAGTAGTTCTAAAAAGTTGATTTTTCGAAATAGCAATAGTGTTGCCTCAACGTGATTCAGGGTTTCAGCACATCTCACTTTTTTTTAAGCTTGAGCTCAGCCCTTTTTGTGATTTATTCAGTGCCAAGTTAATTTCTGAGTCACAGGTTCCTGAAAGAGCAGCAAGTTGTTTGAACTGTCTGCATTTTGGTTTGCACTTTTCTGGTAGAACAGTTCCATCTATTTTTGCCTAAAACCTCTCTGATTTGTTGCAATGGTTGTCTCTAAAAGTTTCTTCCATCAACTCACGTTCTTGACTGCTAATAGGTGCATATCTTTGTTTGAGGCTCAGATTTTTAGTTTGGGCCACTTTTTTATGTATCTCTTCTGTGTGGTGTTGTTTGCTTTTTTTGCTGTTTTATGGACCAAAAGAGTAGGGAGGATGTGTATTGTTGATGACTTGATGAGCTGATGAATGTTTGGCTTTGTGGTTTCAGGGTCAGCTTCAGTTTGGTCCATTTTCTTTTAGCTTCTTTTTGCCTTACTATTTGCCTGTTTCAGGTTTTTTTTTTTTTCTTTGCATTCTTAGTTAATTGATAATAGGTGCATCCATGTAAAACATTACTATCCTGGACTTAATTACATCTTTTTGAGTCAGCAAAAAAAACATGAAGGCAATCTGAAGAAAAAAAAATCGATTACTTCGAATTGATTGTTAATGTGTTGTCTGATGGATGTAGGTTAATTACATCTTTCTGGACTTAATTTGTAAGCTAGGGAAGCAGGCTGTGATGCCTAGCTTTGGGGTCAGTGATGTTTACTCCAAAGAGGTATATCTTTTTTCTGCTTCTCAGTACTCTTGTAGAATTTTCAAACCAATTCTTTCTTGAACACTCTTATTTCCATGGTGCTGGATCTAAAATTTACCTAGCACAAATCCAAGTTTAATTTTACAGTAATCAACACCTATCAGCTCTCTATATTTTTGTTCCATTTCATCAACATTTTTACCAATAGCTTATGGTATTTGCCTTTGTCTAGTGTTTGTTTTTTCTTCAATCTTTTTTTAGTTTTTCTTCTTATGTTTTTGCAATGTGAAATCATAGAATGTGCATCTTTGAATGGTAGTGAAGATATTATAGAGTTCATTGTGTTCAAAATTTTTCATTAGTTATAGTGCTGCTTCTCTGATCTGATATCCCAACATGGATCTAGGTTTTGCAGTGTGGGGGCAGTGAACAGATTCCTAGAGTTCAACAGCAACGTGGCTGCAACATGGCTGCTTCCCTGAATGGGCTTTCTTTTGTTTTATGCATGTCTCTGAATGGGTTAACCTGTGTATTCTGACGGGATGCAGTTTTGTTAATGGATGTTGGGTTTGGGAACCGGTTATGGGATGTTGATCTATTTATTATGTTTTAGTTGACAGATTTCCCAATGTTTTATCTGTCAGTTTTTTTTCTGCTGAGCTGTCTACTTTTGATTGGGCCAAAATTTGAAAGATTTGAGGTTGACAAATCTGTCAACAGTTGTCTAAACAGACCCTTTATATTATTGCATTCTATTTACAGTAATATACTTTCTTCCATTTATTTATTTAAATCCTGTAGATTTATTATATTGCAAGTGTATATTTC